GAAACAAGTTTCTTGTATTACTTTGCATCTTCATCACACTTCTAGTCCACACTCTGATAATGATCTAACTCCTTCTAGACAGAGGTCAAGTCTGAGTAGTACACAGAAAGGCACCTCTCCCCTTGTTTACAAGTGGACGGTTTTGCCTATAACTGATAAATCTTTGCATAGTGACACAACTCAGAATATGTTGATTTTGCCTGTTCCTAGATTTCAGTTGCCGTTTCAGCCCACATAAAGTTCCTTCTTATTTGGGGTTGCATAGACACTAAAAGCTAGGACATGACCATGCTGTTTTCTTGGTTCCATCTGTCATATTCAACACTCCCAGAATTGGGTTTTTTGATTCTCCCATTTATATAACCTATATTTCCCCTTGCAGTAATGTACAACTTGATCCCTCTTGACCATTCCAAATAATTTGAACCATCGAGAGGAATAACAGCCATGGGAAATGATAGGTCCGCATCCCCATTCATTCCATTCTGCATTGAGGAAACACCGGACGTAGCAGAATCTTCACCGCTCATGGTTACAGATTCAAAAAAAGCGTAAGGTGGGAGCAAAACCTTTAAAAAAAGGCTAACACCAAGGGAGAAAGGAAACCCCCTTTTTTTCTTCAGAAACACAACCCCTTTTGATAACACCAGGTGCTGTTACCCCCCTTTTTGAAAAACACAGGTGCTGTTACAGTATTGACAGGCCCCTTTTTTGATAAATACAGGTGCTGTTACAGGGCGGACAGGTCAATTCTTGATCTACACATCAAACATAGATGCTGTTATAGCAAGTACAGGTCACTCTGACCTTCAGATTCAGCATAAAAAAAACTGCTATTGCAGCACATAAAAGGTCTTCACCGACCTACAGATTTTTACAGGGGTCAGCCGACCCCACAAAAAAGGAAAGACAGAGGTGCTAGTCACCTCACATCCAACCAGCAGACCTAGTACAGGTTCTTCCCTGGCGCACGACCAGAAAAAAAAGAGGGAAGGAGAGAGATTATTTCAGGCGTGAGGAGACTTGATCTTCAATCACTCGATCTGTAGATGATGGTGGCGAAGTCTGGTGCGATCTCTCCTTTTCAGATCTGATGGTCCCGCTCTGATACCATGTTATCAGTGCTGTGATGCAGGAGAGAAGAAGAGAGGAAGAAAGAAGAGAGAGAGGAGAAGAAAGGAGAAAGATGTGAGAGCTCAAAAGGTTGCTGGCGGCGCTAGCTTTTTGTTATATAAACTAGGGCGACAGCAACTAAAAAATAAAAGGGTAGAATTACAATAGCACCCCTGCGGTACTATACTTACACAAATAACAGCTTTTAACACCTTACTATGCCTCCAATTCCAGCTAAGCCAGAGTTTCCAAAAGCACTTCCATCGAAGTTTAGGGTCACCACTCCATCATTGAGAAAATCTGGTTGTCTCAAGGTTATTTGATGAGGGTGAGGGAGAAACAGAAAGGGGTGAGCATCTCTATTGAGGTCATTGACTGAGAGTCCTTTGAACAGATTTGAATTGACAGGCCAGAGGTTGCAAAGGTAAGTAATGTCTGAAATTAACTCTTCAAGGGGCCTGAATTTATTGTCAAAGGGGCGTTTATTTCTTTCATCCCAAACTCCCCACATTACTGCATGTAGCACAGGTTACCAATAATCTTTACCCCTTTTACTTAAGCCTATGCCTTGCTACTGATGCAAGAAGTCCAGAATGCGCTGTTTTCCATAACTATACTTGTTTGTCCAGTCATTTTTAAGTTAAAATTCTAGAAATTGAATTCACTTAAAGCTATTCCTATATTGTTTACCAAGAAAAGCTATTCCTATATTGTTTACCAAGAAAATCTATTCCTATCTCTATTCCGTTTGCTAACTTGGGGTATAATAACATACCCTTATTAAATCCCAGCTTCATCATATTTCCTTTTCTTGATCAGTAAAGAAGAAACTTTCTTAATTGATTTAGTTCAAAACTTAATACAAGCATGTTAGAAGATTCCAACAACCCATGTTTCATGGCATAAATTGGATTGCACTTTGGCCGAAAACAATTGCTGTCTGTGAACCCCCTATTTAGCTAATGAGTCTGCCATCCCATTTTCTGTCCTTCTAACCCAATTGAATGTGACATCCGTCTTCCTTGGTAGGCTTTCTATCTTCCTAAATATATGCCTGTAAACTCAGGAAACTGAAGTACTACATCTTGTCCATAAAATAACTAGCTTAGAATCTTCTTCCATGTCCATCTGAACTTAATCCTTGCATCAGAGCCAAATCTTCAGCTCTCATCAAGTTCCCAATTCCAACTGGTCCTAAGCATGTAGCCACCACCTTGCCTAAAGAATATCTGAACACACCCCCTAGACTCCTATGCCTGCTGAACCTGGATTACCCATAAAACTTCCATCAAAATTCAGCTTTATTCTGCTGTTTGCTGGAGATTTCTGTTCCGTGATCACTCTGTGTATTGCTTTGGATGAGTGCCTCTTGAGCCCATTTATTATATCATCAACTAAAAATATATGAAAGAACTCCAACGTTTTTATCCAATGCACAATTTTAATCTTTATATTCTCCAATATCTCTTACTTGCATATGCTTTTCTCATTAAATATTCTCTCATTCCTTTCTTCTTATACAGTCCTTGCCACCGCTGCTTTAACTGCCCTCCACATAATTCTCCCTCTCTTCTTAGGCTGCTTTAGGAAGCTTAGACTAGAGAGACTTACCACATTTCGAGGAGGAGCCAACTTGCAACCAAAGAGAGAGCAGAGGTACTCCCAAACACAAAGGGGAATGGTAATTCATCAAAAAAAAAAACACAAAGGGGAATGGTCTCACCGCTTTCTTTGCGTAATATGCACATGAAAAGACAGGCATTTATTGGGCCTTCTTTTTTGGAGCATGCAGTAGGTATTGATCTTTCCAAGGAACACTTCCCAATAGAAAGCTTGAACTTTAGGTGGGATAGGTTTGCTCCAAATCTCTTTCACCAGAAAATTCACCTCCAAGCTTTTGAATTGTATTAGGGTACTGATGAAGGATTTGCATGAAAGTTGGAGACACTAACCAAAGGCAGGAGGATGCATGTGCCAAAATCTTAATCCATGTCGAGAACTGCTGACTGTTAGCCCAGTTGAATGACAGTTTTTCTTGGCTGGTTTTCTTTAGTTCAATCATTCAATGGCATAAAATGCTTCTGTATTCCTAGGGCTAGCCTAGCTCCTATCCTCAATATAATCAGTAGTGTTTTGATTAGCAACTAATCAGAGTTTTATTAAAAAATGAAAATGAGGATAAAGTACAGGCAATAAAATAGGCTTCCACCCATCCCAAAGAAGCAGATAAATACTAAATAGAGCCAGTCAATTGGCTGCTGAACTCAAATTGAAGCTTGGTCCCTTACCATACAGAATTATAATACCCCAGGGGATATGGTCCCCAATACAATTCCTGTTTGTTTACATCTCTAGAAAGTGAAGCTGTCATGGAATTTGCAAACCTTAGCACCAACTGAATGAGGCATTCAGGCCTCTAGCTAAGGATCTTGCTCCTCTCATGGTATGGTGATGCTGCGGAGGACCCAAAATCCTGTTTATCGTTCACCCAATTACAACTTGTGACTTGTGAGTCTTTCTCCACCTCATGGTCTGGGTTTAATGCAGTTCTTGCATGCTCACCTCCTCAATTGGGCCCTTTGTCTCCTATTTATATTTTCTCCTTTTTGGTTTATGAATTGATGGTTTAACTACTAAATGAATTTCTTTTCTTTTTTAATTCCTACCATGTGAGGTGCTGTTGAAACCTCTCTTCTCCTTTTCTTTCCTTTGAAATCGAGCATGGACTTTTAACAAAGGAGTTTTTGTACCTGGACCTTATCATGTTGTCTATAAGGAAATTGCCGGTGCAGTTTCTTTTATTAAATTTCTATGATTTTATTTTCTTCATGTACTCAGCAGAAATATTAGTCTGAGCAAAATGATGAAATGATTAATTTCATCTGCTCCTGTGTCAACTGAAGGTTCCCTATGTGCCTGAAGGTCTTGAAGCCATCATTTTCACGGCTGATGGTGACATGAGGCAAGCATTAAACAACTTGCAAGCTACATATAGTGGCTTCCGGTTTGTTAATCAAGAAAATGTGTTCAAGGTAAGAACTAGAAATATCTTTAACCTCTCATTGTTGGATGACAACACTTGCACCGTGGGGAACTTCCCAATTAACATTTTATTGGTTTGCAGGTCTGTGACCAGCCTCACCCTTTGCATGTGAAGAATATGGTGCGCAATATACTTGAAGGGAAATTTGATGATGCCTGTTCTGGTCTGAAGCAACTATATGATTTGGGTTATTCCCCGACTGACATAATTACAACTCTTTTCCGGATAATAAAAAATTACGACATGGCTGAGTATCTAAAATTGGAATTTTTGAAGGTTTGTATATATCGCCGGTCAAATGTTTATTTTGTCATATATTTCTCTGCAACATTCTGCGGTTCTGCCACCGTTTCAAACAATACCTCTTCTGCTTGTACTTACAGGAAACTGGGTTTGCTCACATGAGAATCTGCGATGGAGTTGGCTCACTCCTTCAGCTCTCTGGTCTCTTGGCTAAGCTTTCTTTGGTTCGGGAAACAGCTAAAGCCATATAAGTAGGTGTTGACTACAGTTTGGACTTGTTTCCATCTAGACATATTTGTTATCCTAAGGATTACTTGGTTTCTGTATGTTTATGATTAAACATGGTTGGCTCTTGGGCAAATTTGAACAAGGGAGGTGGTTTATAGGCAGCCAAGTTAAGACAGAAAACCTTTTCCAAAGTATAATATTATATCTAAGCATGCAAAGAATTAGACATTTGCGGGTTTGAACCCACACCTCCACAATGGGAAGGATGGCGACTAATGGCCAAGGAATTCATATAACCTTGATAATTGGATATATACGACATAAGAATACTCGGTTATGGTCATGGCTCATTAAGGATTAAGGAAGCATCCCACCAATCATTTTGTGTGAGTGCATGCATAAGTAGCTACATGTATGACATTGACAATAGCATGCCGCATGACAAGAACACACGCAGGTCTTAAGATGGCAAAGGAAAATGATTCTAACACCTGTATGGGGATGGAATTAAATTTGTCACCTTTTAGGGGGGTATGGTTGCAATTTAAGGCGGGTAGAGAGTTGTGGGCAGGAAATCAGATCAGTGCTGTGGAGCGCGCCTGATGGGAGCCCCTCGGAATTCTGGTTGTGGTGGTTTCTTTTTTCAGTCAAAACTCAAAAGATGTTGATGTAGTGCAATCCGGTCACTCCTATCTGGCGCTTGCGTGGTTCGTGAGAGGTACCTGAGACGAGAGGAAAGAGGAAGAACTCTCGGGGGGTTTTTCGGCGGGAACGCTCCGATGCTTAAGTTAGTATTGAGTGTAAGAAGCAAAAGGAGAACGAAGGCTAAGAGTGTAGGTTACGCAGGTGATTCGAAGATATTTTGTTCCTTTAGAATAAGCCCCTTATAATTGAATTCCGTTGCTTCAGGCCCTCTTACTTCTGACAGGGTAGGTATAACCACCATTGTTTGTCTGCCACAGCCGTTACAGGCAGGGCTGAGGTGGCACGTGCGGGGCCGTCGTGCAGGGTACGTGTCTGTCAGGTGTGGGATGCCTTTCTAAAGGTGGTAGGCACAGCGAGGGGGACATGCCTGTTGTCCACAGGTTTGTTGGGTACAACGGTTGGGCAGGAAGCCCTCCTATGGTATACCAAACTGTTCTCTTGCGAATTACCTTGAAYTGGGCTGTCCTTTGAGTGACGGGCTGCCTGTAGCCGGTTATGCCGAGCTAGCCGACCCGAGGTCTTTGTGCCTTGGGGCGTCCGAAGAAGAATCGGTGCGTTCTTGCTTGGGAGTGGCCTGAGGTCCATTGAGAGGAGCTCGGGCCTCAAAAGGGGTCAGGGTGCCCCGACCACGGGACCCCTTGAAGTGCCTTAACCCCGGGGAGGTGCGGGCAAGGTGGCTTTCGGTGAGTAGTTTGCCTGTCGAGTTGCCGTGCTGAACTCGGCGGGATTTTCCCTCCGAGTTGTGCTCACGTCCGTTGCGCTGTCATGCTGTCACTGTTTGAGTAAGGTCACGCCCACGTGTACCTGAACTACAAGGTCGAGCCAAATAACTGTCTGATGAAGTGTGACTGGAAGTCGAGTAGGGCCTCTCTAACCTTGGTCAAGTAGGCAATCATGGTTGGCTTGCGAGCTTCATACTCGCCGGTGACTTGGTTAACCACAAGCTGGGAGTCGCTGCAGATAACAATGTGCTTTGCTTTTACTTCTCTGACTAGGGCTAGTCCAGCTATCAACGCCTCGTACTCTGCTTCATTGTTAGACACTGCGAACTCGAAGCGTAGTGCGTATTCCAGTTTCATGCCGCTTGGGTCGTGTAGAACTATTCCGGCTCCGCTGCCCTATTGGTTTGAGGAGCCATTTACGTGAAGGGTCCAGGGCTCCTCATCCCAGCTCGCGATTGGCCGAGCTAGGAGAGATGCCACACTGGCTGCTACTTCATGGGGTTCGGACTCGATCGGCCTGGGAGCTTCGGGCTCATCCGAGCTGGGAGCCTCGTGCTCAACCGGCTTGGGAACTTCGGAGCTGAATGTACATTCGGCTATAAAATCTGCTAAAGCTTGGGCCTTAATGGCAGTTCGCAGCTTGTACTGGAGGTCGTACTCGCTGAGCTCAACGGCCCACTTCGTCAACCGACCAGAGACCTCGGGTTTAAGCAACACTTGCCTCAGAGGTTTGTTGGTGAGGACGATAATAGTATGAGCTTGGAAGTATGAGCGGAGCTTCCGAGCTGCGATTATCAGTGCGTATGCTAGCTTTTCCATCTCCGGGTATATCGTTTCTACTCCCTACAATACTTTACTAACATAATAGATGGGTCGTTGGACCCGACCTACTTCCTTTATTAGTACCGAACTGACCACTTCGTCGCTCGTCGAGAGGTACAGTTCTAAAAATCGCCCTTCTCGGGCCGGGTTAAGGTCGGCACACTAGCGAGGTATTTCTTGAGCTCGTCGAACGCGAGCTGGCAGTCTTGGGTCCATTCGAACCCTTTGCTCTTAATTGCCTTAAAGAACGACAGACAGCGGTCCGCCGATTTAGACATGAAGCGGCTCAGGGCGGCTATGCGGCCATTCAACCTCTGAACCTCCTTCAGCTTCCGGAGTGGCCTCATATCTATAATGGCCTTAATCATATTTGGGTTGGCTTCGATGTCGCGCTGGTTAACGATGCAAATCTTGTATTAATTCATGTGAGAATTGAGTTTTGACGACCATGTCGTTTACATARCATTCTACTTTTCTGCCGATYAACGGYGCAAACAACTTATTTACAAGCCTTTGAAAGGTTGCCCCTGCGTTTTTCAACCCGAAGGGCATAACCTTGTAACAGTATAGGCCGAATTCCGTGATGAAGGCAATATTTTCTTCGTCCGTCGGGTCCATCTTGATTTGGTTATAGCCTGAATAGGCATCCAAGAAACTTAGCAACTCGTGCCCCGAGGTTGCGTCCACCAAGCGGTCGATTCTAGGAGCGAGAAGCAGTCTTTTGGGCAAGCCCGGTTCAGGTCGGTGTAGTCGACGCACATGCGCCGCTTGCCGTTGGCCTTCTTTACCAGGACGGGGTTGGCTACCCAGCTCGGGTAGTGGACTTCTCTTATGAAGTCAGCTGCGAGGAGCTTTTCGACCTCCTTGTCAACCGCTTTCCACCACTCCAGGGCTAGGTTGCGTTTCTTCTGTCTAACGGGCCTAACTACAGGATTAGTGTTCAGTTTGTGAGTTATGAGTTCGGGGTCTATACCAGGCATCTCTGTCGCAGACCACGCAAAAATATCTAAATTTTGAAGTAAGAAACTTACCAGTTCTGATCATAAAGGTTCTTGGACGGAAGCGCCGATCTTAAGCGTTTGAGCTGGGTCCGCTGCTGAGGTCGGAATTGTGACTGTTTCTTCTATTGGCGCGGCTCGTTCTTTGCCTTGCTCCATAGGCCGCTCTAGCTCGAGGACATCGGCTACCTTGGTTTTTCCCTTCAGGGCGGCGACGTAGCAATTACGGGACTCGAGCTGGTCGCCCCACGCTACTCCCACACCGAAGTCGATTGGGAACTTCATAGCCAAATGGTAAGTGGAGACCACCACCCGTAGGACATGGGTGATTGGTCGACCTACTATGGCGTTGTAGGGGGAGGGGGTCGCGACCACCAAGAAGTTGTGCTTGAATCTGACCACGCAAATCCACATGTCAACTTCCACAGGTACTATTATTTTCCCAAGGGGCCGGACTTCTTCKCCGCTGAAGCCTACCAAAGGAGTGTCTGCGGGCTTCAGGTCGCTTCTCTGCAACTGGAGCTGGTCAAACGCAGCTTTGAAGAGGATGTCGGCTGAGTTGCCTGAGTCGACGAGTACACGCTTGACCTCAAAGTCGTTGATTCTTAGCTTTATTATAAGCGTGTCGTCGTGGGGGTAGTGGGCTCCTCGCGCATCATCTTCTGTGAAGAAAATTGGCTCTTCTGTCCTTGACCGCTTTGGGGGGTTCTGCTCCTCCCGGGTGGCTTCACGAACCGAAGTCCGAGCTGCTGTTGAAGTGCAACCCGCGATGATTGAACCTCCCACTATCATGTGGATGGTTTCCCGGACTGGCCTCTCCTCCGGAGGCTGCCTCTACGGCTGTTTGGCCGGCCTGCTGTTGGACTCGGGAGCATCCTTACCGTGCTCCCCTTGCCGACCTGTTTTATTACTATTATTATTATTTCGTACAAAGTTTCTTAAATATCCGCGATGGATGAGCTCCTCTATCTCGTCACAGAGGTTCTTACAACTCTCGGTACTGTGACCATGATCTTTGTGAAAACTGCAATACAGATTCTTATTCCTTTCATTGGAATTCCCCCTCAGACGGGGTGGCCACTTCATGTACGGGGCATCCTTGATCGCCATCAAGATTTCAGCCCGCTTCGCGTTCAGTGGTGTGTAATCGGCTCGGTCCGCTATAGGAGGTTGGAATAATTGACCTGGCCTTGCCCCCCGAGCTGTGTCCTTTTTCTTTCGGCTGTCTCCTTGACTGGAGAGCTCTCCTTCCCTCTTTCTTTTTTCGGGCGTGCTCTCGCCCTTTTGGTTGATCTCCTCTTCGGTGGCTATGAACCTGTCCGCAAGTTTTAGGAACTCGATTATGGTCGTTGGTTGGTTGACGACCATGTGCCATTTAAACTCTTTGTGCGCCACGCCCTTCTTAGTTGCTGCAAGGCGTACGGCGGGGTCCAAGCGCGGTATCTGCATACAGGCATCGTTGAACCGCTTGATATAGCTTCAGATGGATTCTCCCTCTCTGTACTATGCTGAGGAGACTTTCTTCAGTTCGCGGACACCGCTTGCTAGTAACGAAGTGGGACGTGAAGGTTTGTGCGAACTACGTCAACTTCTTATCAACCCGGGTGCCAAGTTCCGGTACCACGTGCGGGCTGCTCCCCTAAAAGTAGTGGAGAAGGCCACACACATGCACAACTCACTGGCTCGCGCCAGGTGCATCTGTGACTGAAAGGCATTTACGTGGTCATTTGGGTCAAACGACCCATCATACTTGTCAAGAGGGGGGAGCTTGAAGTCTTTGGGCATTGGGACTACCAGGAGTTCAGAAGACAGGGGGGATGGAACCGAGAGGAGGGGAGCTTTGACTTCGACCGAGCTTACCTCTTCTTTGCCCATGAGCCCGGGCAAATCGCGGGTGACAGATCGGCGAGCCCGGCGATAGCGTCTCTGCTTCTTGGTGGGCTCGACGTTCGTGCTGCTCACCTCTGTGCTGTCCGGAATG